GGGGGGGACAATCCTTCCTTGCCTGCTCTGGCTGCAGAAGGTTACCTTGAGCAGCTCTGAGTGTCCCTGACCCCCCCCGCAGGTGATGGGGTTGCAGCTCCGTGCCCAGAGCTGACTCACCAGCTGCCATCCCCCCCCAAAAAGAGGGGCTGAGCCAGCCCCACGCGTGGCAGAGGGGACTGTCACCCCCTCCCCAAGCACCGCTGCCCCCAGCCCCTGCAGCAAAGCAGCCCTGCACGGTGCCACCCAGGTGGGACCCCCCCTCCACGCTCCAGGGGCTCTCTGTAGCCTAGGGAGGGGGGGGCTTTGACGCTCAGGTCCCTCCAAGCAGGGCTGCTCCCCCCCCATCTTCCTCCTCCTCCCGCACTTGGCTGAAGGGCCACTAGATGGTGGTAAGTACCTGCTGACTGCAGCCTTCTCGGGGAGGGTGCCCAAACCCCCTGGGCTGGGCCAGAAACACCCCCCCAGCCCCGGTAGCCACCTCTGGGGCTCTCAGTGCCAAAGCAGGAGCATCGCCCACGGGGTGAGCCCGGGCATCGGTCAAATGGCTGGACCAAAGCACAGCTGGGCAGATGTTTGGAAGCCAGGAGGGACCAGGGGGACCCCACAGGCCCAGAGCTCACCTTGGCAGGGCACGAGCTGGGCTCAAATCCTTCTGGTGCTCCCAAAATGCTCTTCCAGCCCCAGGTCTCCACACCCTGAGCAGCTGTGGGAGCCTGTGCCAGGGCAGGAGGCACCCGTGTGCCCAGAGAGAGAAACCCTCCCTCTGCTCTGCCCCTTGGCGCGATGCTCGCCTCTCCCCCATCTCCATTTCCCCCTCCATGAGCATCTCACAAGGAATAGTTCCTTCTGGAGGCAGCTGCAGGGCCAGCATCCATCCCTCCAGCATCGTTTCTGGGAGCTTGTTGGGATCCTGGCAAGAGGGAACCAGTGCTTTGGTCCAGGATGCGAAAAGGACCAGGGGTTGGGACTGGCTGGATGCATCTGCCCCAGCCCTAAGTACAGAAAATGGCTGTTTGCACCCCGTTACCAGCCCCGATGCTGGAGAATCAGGAGGCCTGATCCTGCCCCAGGCTCCCCCAGGGTGCCTGGGCTGAGACCCTCCTGCTCTGCTGGCAGAGGGGCTGGGGAGAGGGGATGGGAGGTGGGCACAGGATGCTTTGGCCGAGCAGGGGGTGCTCCAGCCCCAGGTCAGCTCAGGAGCCCCCCCACCCTTGCTGGGGGTGTTGCATCAGGGATGGGGGGGTGGAAAGCACCAGGGTTTGTTTGCAGAGACTTGGGAGGCAGCCTTCGCTGGGGGGGGGTGGTGGTGGTGATGAGGATGGTGAGGATGCGCTGTCTGGAGAGCCTGGAGAGCTTCCAAGCGGCGAGGCTGCTTCTCTGGCAGGCAGGGGGGAGGAGAGAGACGTGCCAGGCTGCGAGGGCTCCCCAAGCACCGCTGCCCCCAGCCCCTGCAGCAAAGCAGCCCTGCACGGTGCCACCCAGGTGGGACCCCCCCTCCACGCTCCAGGGGCTCTCTGTAGCCTAGGGAGGGGGGGGCTTTGACGCTCAGGTCCCTCCAAGCAGGGCTGCTCCCCCCCCAGCCACGGCCAGGGCTGCCTCTGAGTCACTGTTTTCCCGACAGCTTTGCAAAGCTGATCAACACCACTAAAAATAATTCCTGCCTGGCTCGGGAGGAGGCTGTAGCCCCGAGGGGGAAGGATGGGCACCGTGGGGGCCCTCCCTGCGAGGGGGCAGGGGATATGGGGGTGGTGGAAGGGGGCCACAGCCCTCACTCCAGCATCCCCAGGGGCTGCCCTTTCCAAATCCGCCTTCGGAGGGAAGCCCTGGGGGTGGCTGGCTCCTGGCAGGGCATCAAGAGAAGGGCATGGCCGTGCCAGGCCAAGCTGGCAGTGCCAACCCTGCTGGGGGACCACGGGAAGCCCCGGAGGGAGAGGGGGTGCAGGACATGGCCCCCACGGAGGGCACGGTGCCTGCAGGAGGCACAGGCAAAGGCCATGCGTGGGCGAGGGCACGCGTGGGCGCAGGAGCGGGTCCGTGGGCACAGCTGGCCTCACAGCTGCGCCATTTGGAGCCGCACGCTCATGAATATACATGAATATGCATGAGGGAGGGAGGGGGGGCAGCCAATGGCAGCGGGGCTCCGGCGCGCCAGCAGCTGCCAGCCTTTGCAATGAACTTCTCCTGACATTTTGGATGCGCCTCGTCGGGTTTCCAACCCTCCCTTCCCCTCCCTGGTCTGTCCTGGCCCCCCACATCAGGCTGAGACCCCCCCAAACCCACTTTGGGGTCAAGGTGGGACCCCTCAGCCCTGCATGTCCCCTGCCACCACCCTGAGGGCTGTCCCCAGCATCCCCTGCTGGCCCCAGGGGACCTCTCTGCTGCCCAGGGCAGGGTCACCCTGATGGTTCCAGCAGCTCCAGCCCCACGGTGAGAGGTGCAATAACCCCCTTTTCCCCCCCCCCCAAAGCCATCTCTCTGCAATTAGCTCAGCCTCGGCTCAGCTCCCTCCGCCCACGCAGCGAGGACACACGTTGCCAGCAACCAGTTAAGTCTCTTCTACTTCATTTTTATTTCCAGTCAGAGCACGTCGGCTCTGCCTTCACCAGTGCTGAGGGGCTGGGGGGGGGGGGAAACACACAAAAAAGGTGCAGGAGAGCACAGGGAGAGGCATCAGGAGTAACCAGAGCCCAAACGCTGCCCAACACCGACCCTGAGGCAGCCACATGCTCCTTTTTTCTGAGCAAAAAATGGATCTCACAGCCCCTGGCCTTGAGACCCCCCCGTTCCCCCCTGTGCTTGGCAAGTGGGGTGTGAGGAAGGAGCCCATCTGGAAGGGACAACACCTCAAAAGGGACAGGGGGGACAAACTGCCCCCCGCTCTGGCCTCCCCACTGACTCATTCCCCTGCCCCACGCTCCCCCCTGGGGGGGAAAAGCTCATTTTCTGTTCATCCCAGCTGCAGGTGGGCGAGCTGTGCCAGGAGGCCCAGGTGTGGCTACGGTGGCTACGGCATCCACCCCCCCACGTGTGGGCTCCAGCTCATTGCAGCTGAGCCCCCCCTCCCCAGGAGCCCCACAGCACGGCCGTTAACGGGGAACCGCAGCCTCCCCAGCGCGGTGGGGGACACGGGGGGACCACAGAGACCAACCCCCGGGGCCATCCCAGCCCCTGCTCCCAGCCTGCAGCTCCACCAAGGGAAATCTTCCTCCGTGGTGCTGGATGTGAGCCACCGTGTCACCCCCCCACCCCGCCCGAGGCCAGGGACATGCCAAAAACCCAGGGCCTCGTCGACGCCGCAACCTAATGAAGCCCCGCTACTGCTCCAGTCAGTGAGCAAAGGCCACAGGAACAACAAACACGGGTTTCACTAACCACTAGGTCTCCTCTCCAAAGAGAAGAGCGATAGGAACGCGCCGCCTGGGACATCAAGGACAGTGGAGAGTCAGCAGGGAGGGAGCACGTGAGCCCCGGACACGGCAGAGCCCGGGGACAAGGCCGTGTTCCCAGTCCCACCACCCGGCCGTCCCTGCGGCTCGGCAGCGGTTCCCTCTTCCAGCGAGGGCTGCGGGGGCTGGGGGAGGCAGGGCAGGTCCCTACAGCCGTTTCACTGCGTGTCCTGCCGTCCGCCCAGGGGCTCAGAGGGCTCGTCAGGACTGTCCGAGTGCGCGTCGTCCATCCCGAAGTCGCTCCAGTACGGGAAGGTCTCCAGGCAGCTGGGACCCTGCGGGTTCCCCAGGGCGGCACCGCTGGAACGAGAGAAGGGATGAGAGGGGAGAAGGGAAGATGCAGGGCCTGAGCTGCTCCCATGTCTCCACATCACCCCGCTGTCCCCTCAGCTCCCAGGCACCGCTCGCACGCAGCCCACGGCAGGGAAGGGGGGACACGGCCCCCAGGGAGAGGCAGACGGGGCTGGCAGCCCAGAGGGACGCACGGAGCCGCAGTGCCCGGGTACCTACCCCTCAGCCTGGGCTGCCACGCTCCTGCAAACCCCTTCCTTAAACCAGAAGGGGCTTTATTTAAAACCAGGTCTCTCGCTGGGCTCCAGACACCTCTTTCTTCCTGCTAGTTGGAAAGCAAGAGGAAGAAACGCGGGCACCGGGTGGTGCAGAAGGGCAGATAAACACCTCCTTGGAGGGGCAGGGGGACACCGAGCTGCCACGGGACTCAAACACGCAGCTGATGGCTGTGCTGGTTCAGCTTCTCGCAGGGAGCTGCAGCAGTAGCAAATTGAGGATGTCCCTCCTCTCCCACCAAGCTCAGCTGCCTCCCCAGGGGCAGAAAACCCTCAACTGGCAGCAGGGGAGGCAGCCCCCCCCCCCCCCC